TATGCACGGTACTTATTGGAAAGCGCTCTTTCTCAGTGATAGAGCTAACATATTTGGTTGGATTGATGTGAGTTTGTGACCCTAGGTTTCACGCACTTTGCGATCGTCAGAGGTAGTATCTGCGGTTTCAGACATCCATTGGCGGTTTACGAAAAACTACACGGATGGGGAGGGATTACTCTATTGTGGGTGTTGACTAAGGTTAGCATTTCTTCTAAGAAAAGGACGCTGAAGAGGAAAATCATCATAAACCGTCGTCAGAGCGTCAAAGATGTCGCCAACAGCGTGGAAATGTCGCCATGTGCGGCAAGAAAGACTTTGAAAGAACTAGGCTATCCAAGAAAAGTTGCAAAAAGGCCTTTGATTTCAGACGTTAACAGGAACAAGCGTATGGACTGGGCGAGAGAATTCGAGAGCAAAGATTATGAATTTTGGCAAAATTTTCTGGCTTTAGATAACCTGCAAAAAAAAAAAACGAATCAATCTCCATTCAATGATCTTTACATAAGAGAAAATAGGGGAGAGAAAGAGATTTAGATAGAGCACAATGCCGGATAGATAGATAGGTATTAGCATAGTGAAATAGATATTGTATATAGATAGAATGAGATTTGGGCAGATTGTCATAAAAAGAAAGAGAAAGGGGAGAGTGAGTTAGATGGAACATAATATTTGATAGATAGATAGATAGATAGATAGATAGATAGATAGATAGATAGATATTAGGATCGTGAAATAGATAGATAGATAGATAATAAGCCGACTAACAGATAGATAGATAATGAACCGACTGACAGATAGATAGATAGATAGATAGATAGATAGATAGATAGATAGAAAAGATTGTGATAGATAGATAGATAGATAGATAGATAGATAGATAGATAGATAGATATGAATAGGCTAAGACCCATATTACCAGACTAAGATAAATACACAGATATATAAATAAACACGTTAACAGATTCAGATAGATAGATAGATAGATAGATAGATAGATAGATAGATAATGAGCTGACTAACAAATAGATAGATAACGAACAGACTGACTGACAGATAGATAGATAGATAGAAAGATAGATAGATAGATAGATAGATAGATAGATACGAACAGAAGGAGATAGATATTAGCATAGTGAAATAGATATATAGATAGAATGTAATTTGAGCGGATTATAATTTATAAAAAGAGAGGTGGAGAGAGGGGAGCTTGAGTTAGAACATTACATCAGATAGATAGATAGATAGATAGATAGATAGATAGATAGATAGATACGAACAGAATGAGATAGATAGATAGATAGATAGATAGATAGATAGATAGATAGATACGAACAGAATGAGATAGATAGATAGATAGATATTCCCGCACTATATGATATAACTGTTCACATAATGATATTTACTTAATTACTCCCGTCAATGTTTGTGTAGATTTGCTTTTGGTTGAGTTGGTCTTTCTCTATGCATATTCTTGCTTATGTGTGTAAATAGGTCAGAATATATTTCAATATATTTGTGTAGTTTTCTGTTATCGTTGTTAATAAACACTGGATCTTGTCTGTCCGTCTATCAGCGTAGATGTAGCCTAGAAACAAGAGAAATGCAAAGGTAATGAAGCAAGCAGAAAAGTAGAAAGCTGCTGATGCTTAAAATATCTCAACATGATGCACATTTGAAAATATATACTTGTTTAAACATGCGTCTGGATATACACACACGCATAGATAGATAGATAGATAGATAGATAGATAGATAGATAGATAGATAGATAGATACGAACAGACAGACAGATAGATAGATAGATAGATAGATAGATAGATAGATAGATAGATAATGAACAGACTGAGATGGATAAATAGTGTTGTAACCTTGGGAAGGTTACTGAATAGAATAATCGCGCGAAGATTGGTAATGAACGATAATACTTAGGACAAGAACAACACATATAAGATTCGCCAGCGTGCGCGTAGAAGAAGTAGTTAACTACTAGAAGTGATTAAAATGAATTCTACAATGAATCTCTAACTGCAGACCAACATACAGTATTTACCACTGTATTTGTGGACATACCCATTATCATCTGTAGGTATGCTACAACAGATAGATAGATAGATAGATAGATAGATAGATAATGAACAGACTAAGATAGATAGATAGATAGATAGATAGATAGATAGATAGATCCAATATTATTTACAAATTCACGTTCCTTGATGAAATGTTTTCAAACTAAATTCATTCAAAACTTGTTTTTTTATCCAAATTTCTTACATAAATTATTCCCAGTATTATTCATTCTGACTAATTTTACTTTTCAGTCTATTTTTCACAACGCCCATTTTTTTTTTCCTTTTTACATTCAATTAACATCAGCGGCATATTTCTGTAGGAAAATCACTCTACCCAGCTTGAGTATGCACCGACTTTCTTAGGAACACTTTCGTCATTTTGCCTTCTCTCTCAAACCCAGTTTTGCCATCCCTTCGCTCAAGTTCGACAGGTAGGTTGTGAATTGCTTTACTCTGGTCATCTTACTTTCAATCTGTCCTATGAATATCAAATTTTCCAAGCCTGCTCTCTTCAGGTATCCCAGAAATTTCAATTATCCTTTTTCTGGTGTTAAGCATAAGGGTGCTTTTTGTTACCATTGTCTCTAAAGCTTCGTCATTGCACACATTTTCGGGCTATGCTATTCTTAGCATCCTTTTGTAGGTCCATATTTCTGTTGCTTTAAGTCTCTTCTTCATCTGCGTGGATATTGTCCAGCATTCACTGGCATCGCATCTTACCAATTAGACTACGAAGAATAACGGGCAATATGGCACCGAGTAAAAATTATCAAATGAATCACGTGTTTGAACGATCAAAATGTGAAGTCGTAATTAGTTTCTGTAGCCCACTTGGTGAGGTGCTGTCTCGGTCGGGTAGGTTTCCCAGGATATTTTGCATGCGTTTTTATCTTGCAGTAAGTTTTTCTTTTTTCTTTTTTTTGTCTATCTGATCTATTCCGCTTACTTAGCTGTCAGAGAACATAAATGCGATGCAAGGAAGCAAAAAATAAAGTGAAAAATAAAAATATATATAAAAACATAATAATTATTCTATTTTCATTTGATAATATAAAAAAATGACTCAAAATGTTTTTAACATAATCCATGTCAACAGATTAACTTGGTTATAAGGTTGATATAAATAGGTTTCGTTTGTATTATAGGATGCTACAAACTTCATGAAAATTGTTTTTGCGTAAATAACTATCAGTAATCTCTTCAGCAATATATATATATATATATATATATATATATATATATATATATATATATATATATTTAGTTTATGCAAACTTAGGTTATCCGTATGGGTAGACCTGAGGAGGATGATATCCAGAGAGCTCAATGTAAAATTCAGAGCAGATATGTTTTGAATAAAAGACAGACCCGTTAAGATTCCATGTAATAAGTTATTTCACCATAACCTTTTTAGCAGGGCTCTGGATCATCAGACTTTACTTCCAAAAGCTGAAATGAAAAATGAAAAGAAATTCAAACGGAAGTAAAGTCTGATGATCCCGAACCCTGTTAAAGAGGTTATGGTGAAATAGCTTATTACATGGAATCTTAACGTGGTCTGTCTTTTATTCAATATATATAACAGTATATAACTGGGTTTAACAGTAAAATTGTCTAAATCGTGTTACAATATAATTATCCATCCCACAAAGTATTTAATATCTAAAAAAAAAAAACACTAAACTAATTGATTTTCTTCTTTCCGGGTTTTCAAATAAAACGTTTAGCCATCTTGATGCCATTTGTCGTAAGAATCTCTGAAAAAAAACCCTTTAAGTTATTCAGCTAAAAAGAGAACAAGTTAAAATCGTTTTATGTCGGCCACACTGTCTTCTCAACTAAGCAATGGCGAGAGGAAAAAGATCATTCAGATCTTCAGTAATGGTACCAACATTGATACTAGGGTTTCCAGAAAGCCCATTCAAGAACCATCAAGAGAATGGTGAATAAGTTTAAAAAGAGGGAACAGTAGAGAGGAAAACTGGATCAGGAGGTCCAACAGGAAGAGGGATCATCATTTCAACTTTGAACTAAGGAGATCAATTAGAAAAGATCCAACGCAATCCATAAGACATTTAGCATGTGAGAGAGGAGTTTCAGCTATGACAGTTCAAAGAGCAGGTGAAAAAAGACTTGAAAATGAAATCGTACATGAAACGTGTGAGGCAACTTGTTACTCCAGGACAGAAAGGTACAAGTTTAAAGAGGGCGAAGATCATCTTGAATAAGTTGGAAAATGATCCTAGAATAATATATACATATTTGAACTTTATTCCAATCCTTTGTTAGTTTCTGATCCTGAGCTATAATTAGTTAATGATGGACGTGTCATTTTTGTTTATGATCGATTTCATCACGATTATTCTGTTAAGGTTGGAGAGTAATTGTACATTCATATTGCTCAAAGTAGAGTCCAATAGTGTTATAAAAAACTCGGAAAATTCCAGTAAGATATCTTTAATCATTTCTAAGATACACCAGCTACAAGTTTTAGATCAGTCGAAAATAACGTTAACGATAAAAGGGAGTGGAACCGTATTATTATTATTATTATTATTATTTTACATATTAAATATTTTATGAACACTTCAACGTATTATCTCCTGGAGTGGAAGATATTTCGTTTAATGTGGTTGTTTATTTGGTATAATCATAGCTTCTGGGATTTTAAGTCTTTCCTTGTATTGGGCCCCGTAGAGTATTTTGCTATTACAGTCGTATTTTGTTTTGTGTTTTTTTTGTTTTGTTTTTTTTTGCTTTTTGTTTTGTTTTTTGTTTCTTTGCTTTTTGTGATATGCTAATCAATATATGCACGAATTGCACTAAATTCCAATAAGTGACAAGTCAAGCTAAGAAAGAGCGTGGTTCAAGAGATAGATAGATAGATAGATAGATAATTATGAATGGACTAAGCTAAGAGAGCATGATTCAATAGATAGATAGATAGATAGATAGATAGATAGATAGATAGATAGATAGATATCCACATGCTGTGATAGATAGATAGATAGATAGATAGATAGATAGATAGATTTTATTTTCAATAAAAAAATCAACAGTCCGCAATTGAGAAATGACAAAATTTTTAAGATTACCGTTCTGTCATTTGCCAATTTAATTATATATATATATATATATATATATATATACAAATGAGAGAAAGAACAGATGGGATAAAAATACACAGTTCATAGCATTTATTTATTAAGTACCAAAAATTCCTTTAAAACTCGGTGGTATCAACACATATCATCTTTCAACAACTATGCGTATCGTAACAGAACGTCCCTTTCTAAATAGTTTTGTCACTTAAAAGAAGTTAACACAACTCCCACGGTAAAATGGAAAATATTAAAAATAACTAGAACCTGTAAATCCTTATATGATCCATGTCCCCTATGTTTACAAGAAAAATTGCATATTATTAACTTACAAATAAAAAAAAAACTTTTTGAACAAAGAAATGAATTAACGGTGCTCTGCCGGCATTGCCTGCCTTTCACCTTAAAATATAGTTAAATATTGTTTTCACAAAAAAATTACGTATTATAATTGTATTGCCTTTATTTTATTAATATATAATGAGCCATCCATTATTTATTTGATTTATTCAATTATAATATTGCCACGTTTTACCGTCGATTCAGTATATTTAACAGCTTAAATAGTTGTTTCCACATTTTTAATTTTACTTATAGGCCCCTTTAAGAACCTTGCTGAGTATTTTTTTTAATTCAAAAAAATCCGTTTCTAATAAATTTGTCTACTTCAACAACTCGCTAAATCATATTTGGATACATCAATAATACATTTGTCGCGTTAATTATTCGCTAGTATCGTTGAATATCATATCCAAGCATCAGTCTTCTTGACATGTAATAATAATTCACATACCTCCATCCTCTGACCTTATTTTTATTGGTTATCGTAGACGTGACGTTCATTGGTTAATCTAGACATACCCATAAGTATATTTTTAATTCTGACCTTCTGACCCGTTTTAAGTATGAAAAGAGGTAAAGATTTGTTTTATAAATCTCGCTAATAAAATCATTTTTATCAGTAGTGATCTACTATGATGAAGTACCATCTTAATACCGAAACATGAAAGTTTTTGTGCAGCGATGTAAAATGTTTTTATTGCAATTTATAATAAAAATATTTTAAGACATTTTTATGTTTATACATTCTTTTTATAGATACAAATATTTAAGTAAATGCTCTGTTTATAATAAACAGTATTAAACAACATTTACCGGCCTGAATGTCCGAGAAATTTTCACGGAAGATATTCGTCCTCCGATGTGATTCGAACCTGTATCCTATACGGATCGTCATTTAGCTTGACGTGCCTTTACCGATTTGGCCACAGAGGAGTGTTCGGTTAGCAAGGTCGAATTTACTGTCTTTAAACTTTAATCTTCCATGAATCTCTCACGTACCATCATATCTGCTCCAAACGCACCCAAATGTAAACAAATGACGTCACACATTATGAAATGGACAAAGTCCGACAATTATTTTAAGACATTTATATATATATATATATATATAGCAGAGTAAGAAGTCAGTGGTTAGCTCGCAGCTGGTTACGATTCCTTAGTAGTGTAATGCGGACCCGGTAAAGGTCTGTCCGTTTCAACATTTGAAATTTTCTGGCTTGAAAGTTTGGAAGTTCACTGAGAAAAAGTGTTAGTGAAATGACGTACAAGGAAAGCAAGAAGAAAGGACTAAGCATCAATTACAAGAAGACCCAATGCACGGTTGCTAACAAAAGGAAGAGTTCCACATACAAATTACAAATTGAAGATGCACAGAACAAACAAGTGCAGCAATTTAAACATTTGGGAAGTAATTTAACAGAGGGTGGAACGTGCGACACTGGAATCCAAAGGCGCATTGTTCAAAGGGAAAGATGTTTTCCAAAAGCTAAGCAATGTATCAACAAACAGGAAAATTTCGTTAAAAACAAAGAAAACTGAACTCTTATCTAATATCAGTGCTTCTGTATTGGACAATCTCACCGATGAAGACGTGATTTGAAGCAACAGAAATGTTGTTCTACAGAAGGATGCTGCGAATACCATGGGCCAAACATGTGAACAACGACAAAGTTTTAGAGAAAATGGAAACAAAAAGTGAACTTATACTTAAAATCAGGAAGAGAAATTTCTTGGGCACATAATGAGGAAAGAAAGCTTGGGAAATACGACACTCACAGGACAGGAGGAAAAGTGGGAGAGGGGAAAACAACGCACAAACTTCCAGATGCGCTTGAATAAATGGCGCACAAAACAGGTTTTAAGAGAGATAACGAAAAGACAAAAAGGGCTACAAAGAACAGGAAATAATGGAGAGCCATGAACGTATACACGGCACAATTAAGAAGAAGAATGAAATGTTAGAAGTTCCCTGACAAAAATGCTTGTGGAATGATGTCAAGAATATAGGGCATTTACTACCTTTTGATATATTTTTTTCTTAGAAACCGATTTATTTAATAATTCACAGCAGGAAATAATTTAATATGTTTGAATATTAATCTACCGTGCCTTGTGCATAACCTTTGGTTTATATTTAGAGATATTATTGGTGCTTTCATTTCGAAATTATCTTTTTCAAGGGACAGAGAAAAAAGCATAAACACTATTAATTCGTTCTTTCCATTCATACTATTTTTCAATTACTACCATACTTACATTGTAAGGGGCACTGCGATGCGGTGTAATGGTGAACAAGCTTGTCTCGCTAGATCACTTACGACTGAGTAGTGTGTACGATCCTCACTGGGTGCTCCGCACTTTCAGCCTTGTATCCCATCTAAGCTACGCATAGAAAATCACCATACTTATATATATATATATATATATATATATATATATATATTAGGCGGTTGATTCTAAGCAAGGCGGGAAGCCAATAGCATGCAACGGGTTACAGAGAGTTTTCATTTGGTCAGCACGTTGTAAGGTATGATTCACATTCCCAACTGTACAACTCAATGAAGTTGTTTCTTTATAACCGCGCTACATTGCAAAACGTAATAGAAATGTGGTCCTACAGAAGGATGCTGAGGATACCATGGAAAGAATATGTCAACAACAACAAAGCTTTAGAGAATATGGAAACAAAACGAACACTTAACATCAGAAAAAGACAGTTGAAATTGCTAGGATAAATAATGAAGAAATAAGTTTGGAAAATTTGATATTCACAGGATAGATTGAGGATAAGAGAGACAGGATGATGGAAAAAGGTTTAGGAGTGATAAGAAAAAGAATAAATTTATTAAGATCTACGAAAGACAGGAAGTTGTGGAGAGTCATGATCGCCGACGTCCTGAAGGGAAATGGTACATAGAAAACATTTAAACGGATTTTTATAACCTCTCGAAACATGGGATATTACAATCTTAATTTTTTTTAAGCGTTTCACCTCAAGCAAAGCGGTAAGCCACTAGCACGCAAGGGGTTACAGTTGGAGCGAGAGCAAATAGGAGTGATAGAGGAAAGGATGAAGAGAAGGATAGGGAATATATCAGGGCATCTGGAGACGTCAATTAACGTTACATTTGAATAGTTGGAGATTATAACTATCAGGGAAACAAGTAAAGGGGGAGTTCCACAGGCGAGAGGTGCGAGACATGAAGCTATTGGAGTAGAAGAGACGGCAACATTTAAGTTTCGACTGAGAAAGGATGAGAGCGAGATGTCAGCCTAGTTGAACGATTAAATTCATGAAGTCTGGGAACCAGCGAAAGCACTTCCTCGGAGCAGTTACCGTGAAAGTATTTGTAAAAAAAAGATATGGGGAGGCGACGGCACGTCTGTGAGAGAGAGACTGCAGACGAGATGCCAGATCAGGGCCAATTACATTGCATATCCGTCTTTGAATTTTATCAAGGATCTTGAGACACGCGTAAAGGGCACCAGACCATATATGGCAGCAATACTCCATGTAAGGGCGAATAGTTGATTTGTAGATTGAAGGATCGACTCCGGTGATAAAAATTTCCTGGTGCGGCACAGGGAGCCAACTTTCCTTGCAGTAGACGAAGCTATTGACTCAATGTATTTGTTCCATCTCAAGTCAGCAGACAATGTGAGACCGAGCAGTCGCAAAGAAGTGATCTCGTGGAGTTGAGCGTCAGACATTCTCATGGGAAGCAGGGGTGGTTCTCTCTGGTGAGTAATAGAGAGCGGTTTTGTTTTTGAGGCATTAAATTTAACCAGCCAATTCCTGCCCCAGTCTACAACCGATTGGAGGTCCTTTTCGAGACAAACGGCCAGGTTTTGTCAGCGACACTAGATTTGTTTTTGAGGCAGGAGTAAATACGAGTATCGTCCGCATAGATGCCTACATGGGAATATTCTGTTCTAATAGTCCCAACTCTAAAAAGCAATCACAGTATTCAGTTACCTAGAATGGGTTGACCCATGCCGCCGTAGTTGTTTTTTCTTTAACTAATATTACTTAATGCAAGTCTCAGGACCCATCCACGGTAGTGGGTTACTAAATGAGTAATAGGTGGAATTAGGAAGTAAAAATTATTAGGATAGATAACTCGTGACAATAGATTTGCAGGGGTTCAACTTTTAGTGTTCGGGGAAACACCCATACGTGAATCTGTTTAACTAAGCAGCAATTCTTGGGAAGAAGCTGTTTGAGCGGAAATACACTTTCCTACCAATCGAATACGAGGATAATGAGGATGATTCAACCCTGTGGACGTAGCAAGGCGGGTCTTACCTGTACAGGTCATAACTCGCGTTACTTCAGGGTGTAGCCCATTTGACCTGGAAATAAATGTTAGGGTTGCGATAGGCTTGCAACGTTAGCTCTGTGGAATAGGGACGGCAGGTTGAAAAATAAGTCACCCCCACAAGGCCGTGTAAGCTATGTCAAGGCTGAAAAGTGGGGATTGGGAAACTCCAGTCTAGACATGTCAGCAATCCTCTATTTCTAGTTCGAGCTGACTTGTAAAGAGTTAAGTTTTGGACACCTACTGTAGAGTATTGGTTAACAATCTCTTAAATCATGCTAGCGTCGTGTGCTACCAATTGTGGCCATGTTTAGGTAGACTTGACTGGACGCTGGCT